TGCATTCCTGGCAGTTCTGTGTCTCCCCCTGTTTGACAGAAAATGGTAATAATTAATTAAATACCCAACATAACCAATACACTCAACAATAACACCATTTTCATATTGTGCCTTTAACTTACAATTAACAAGATGCACTGCAGCAATTCACCAAATCTCCTTTGACAGTATCTTCCAAGCCCATTAACTCTACCATCTAGAAGAACAAAGGCTGCAGATATGTAGCAACCCCACTATCTGCAAGTTCCTCCCTAGTCACTCAGTGTCCTGCCTTGGAATTATATTGCCGTGCCGCTGTGTCAAAATCCTGGAATATCTTCCCTAACAGCACTATGGGGTAACCTATGCCATGTGGATTGCAGTGGTTCAAGAAGGCAGCTCATTGGGCAATTAGGATGGGCAATAAATCCTGATCCAGCCAGCAATGCCCACAGTCCATAAACAGTTCAGAAAAAACTAGCAAAATATCTCAAGATTCTTCAGAAGATCACTGTCAAACACAATTTTAACTTTGAGCCACACTAGGATGTATGTGGTCAACTGACCAAAGCATGATCAAAAAATAGATTTTAAGGAGCATCTTTAGGGGGAAGAGAAGGTGGAGAGAAGGAGAAGCTGAGGGAAGATTCCAGAGTTTTAGGGCCTAAATAAAGAAATGCACAGTAATGGTGGGATAACAAGGTGTAGAGCTGGATGAACACAGCAGGCCAAACAGCATCAGAGGAGCAGGAAAGCTGACGTTTCGGGCCTAGACCCTTCTTCAGAAATGGGGAAGGGGAAGGGGGTTCTGAAATAAATAGGGAGAGAGAGGGAGGCAGATAGAAGATGGATAGAGGAGAAGATAGGTGGAGAGGAGACAGACAGGTCATAGAGGCGGGGATGGAGTCTAGGCCCGAAACGTCAGCTTTTCTAGTTCCTCTGATGCTGCCTGGCCTGCTGTGTTCATCCAGCTGTACACCTTGTTATCTCAGATTCTCCAGCATCTGCAGTGCCTACTATCTCTGAAACAATTTTAACTCCACTGCGAAGCCTCTTCTAAGGATGCCTACCTTGAAGAAGTTACCCTCCTCCCTCCAGAAAGACCTCAGTGGCCCTATTTATTTCAGAAGCCCATTCCCCTCCCCCATTTCTGAGGAAGGGTCTAGGCCCTAAACGTCAGCTTTCCTGCTCCTCTGATGCTGCTTGGCCTGCTGTGTTCATCCAGCTGTACACCTTGTTATCTCAGATTCTCCAGCATCTGCAGTTCCTACTATCTCTGACACAGTAATGGTGGAGCAGTTGATATCTGGGATGTACGAGGTCCAGAATAGGAAGACCGCAGGTGTCTCTGACGGTTGCGGTTGTGGAGGAGAGCACAAAGTGAGTGTGGGGGTGAAAATGTGGAGGGACTTCAAAACAGGCTGAGAATTGAGTTGACCTACATTAATTAGTTGACTAAAAGCAACCACTGATAGAATCTGGATGTGAATTCCTTTTCCAATTATTCTAACTTGAGCTTTCTTTCTGCAATAACTCAACAGAGCCGAATATCCCTTCACTAAGTCACTCTTTATTTACACATACACAGTACATGGACTTTGACCAGCTAGCTCAAAGCCAGTCCCTAGAGTAGTGAGAATCTCTGAGATTCCTATTTATATCTGTCAGCCAAGGCTCCCTGACTGGTACAGGTTAACAACCCCAAATCAGAGATCTCACAATTAATGAGATCCACCTGGCCCTTATTCCAATCACTACACATTCATACAGTTTAAGATATTGATCTGAAAAGGACACCTGTTTGTGGTGCTAATTTCCTTCTTGGGAGTCATTGTGAACCATTGTGACCCAATGTCTGGACAAAATAATAACAAGAGAATGCCTAAAACTTTTCTATTGCATTATTGGAGAAAGTAGATAGTCATCCTCCAGTGTGAAGGATTTTACCTGTCTGCAAACTTTCTGAAATGTCCACAATTAAAAGTTTCATTAGAAAGATAACCATTCATTCTGAGTGAGGGTGAACTGGGGAGTGCTCGATGGCTCTATTAATAAATGCTTTGAGGAATTCAAACATGCAGGTCAAGGATGTTCTGGGGCAAGGCTGAATTATTTATACTCAATTAAAGCAGCTACGGTGTGTTATAGCCAAGCTGGGCAAGAAAGAGAGATAGTAGTGTTAACAGTGGTGTTAAAAGGTGGAAATTAAAAGTGAGAAGGTCCATTTGTTCAAGCCTGAAATGCTATATATCTGTCCGCCTCCCTTCCCCACTCCCACCCAATTTTAATCGCTACATGTCATTCATTGTCCAAATCTGCAGAAGAAGAATATCGAGCTGGGTAAGGTACCAGGAGGAGTATGATTAGCTGAGTAAAGCACCAGGAGGGGGATAGTCAATAGGATATCAGTGTTGATCCTGCAGTCTGCTGCTTCCATTTTGTTAGAAGGCTGGCAGAACTTGCTCAAGGGGACTCACCGACTAGCATTTAACATGGCTAAGAAAATGAGGGTGCAACAATTTGGGAAATGGAGTATAAAGTAGGAAAATGGGAAGTCATCTACTTTGGTTGGAAGAATAGAAAAGCCGATTATTATTTAAATGGATGGAGATCACAGAGGTCTGGGTGTCTCCATACATCCATCACAAAAAGTTAGAATACAGATGTCATAAGTGGTTAGGAAGGCAAATGCAATGTTGGGTTTTGCAAAGAGAATGGAATATAAAAGTAAGGAAGTCTTTGCTACAACTGTACTGGACATTGGCAAGACCACATCTATAGAGTACTGTATAGTTTTGATCTCCTTATTTAAGGAAGGATGTACTTGAATAGAAAGCAACTCGGAGAAGGTTCACACGGCTGATTCCAGGGATAACTGGAAAGGTTAAGTTGGTTGGGCCTATGCACACTGGAATTTAGAAGAGTCAGAGGTGATCT